CGAGTTCTGTCTCTGCGCTACATACCGGAGAGATCAAACAATAAGACTTTCAAAATACGAAGTTAGGGCAAGTCCACCGTCATATTGCGGAGCGTATCTCTGTCTCTCTGGTACATTGTAAAGAACTGTTATCTTGTTAATGTGTGTTTAGGCGATCAGAGCAGAAACCAGTGGCTCGTGGAGTAGCCAGAATTTTTGTCAGGGGTAAAAGAGAATAAAGCATATTATTAATCATAAAGTACAAATATATTTACAAATAAAGTAATAAATTTAATAATTAAATAAATTTAAGTATTACATGAATAAACAATTTAAGGAAACATTAAAATTATTTTTTTCTAGCAGTTCTTAATTTATCACTAACATGAAATCGATAAAAAGGAGTTTTAGTTTCGTGAACACGATAGAATAATACAAAAAGAATCGCAAACACACTATTTTCTTTTTGGTATATTAAATTAATACTAGTTTTTTTAATATAACTGAAGGAAACAATTTTTTATTTATCACGTTTCTGAGAATTTTTTTAAAAGATCAATATTATTTCAATTTCATAAACTTTGTTTTTTCTGAAAAAAGTGTCCTATATATACACAATAATCATTCATTCATGAAACGTCATTATCTTAATTACGTATCTCCTTCTACGCAAGGAGGTGAATGACCGCTCTACTCATCAAGGGGCGCATTGTAGAGCACGAGATAAGTTGCCTCGGAGTTAATTTTAGATTTTATTTCATGGAAATGTGTAAAGTATACTTCATGGTATATTTTATATGGGGGCGTGTTAAGACATTTCCGATTATGGAAACAATAGAGTGGCCTAAAATTCAATTCATTTCAGAATTATCTCAAATTTGCCCCTTTGAGCACACAATTCAATTTAATACATTGTACGCACATTAACTGAAATAATGTCACCACATTAGCTACAATTACAAAATAACTATCAAATTCTCAACATTCATTCCAGTAAACATTAGTTACTACTTAATTGGAAAGAAGAGCGATTTTTTTTCTTATTTCGCGAAGTTATCAATAACTGGATCACAATAATCTGTTCTGTTGGAGGACAGTTCTTTTATAAACGACTTTTCAATTGATAGAAAAGAGAACACTCTTTTTAATTAATAGAAATTATATAACCTGTCTAAGTCGAGTTTATTAAGTATGTTTTATTATGATTAAGAGCTGAGAAATAGCATTCAACAGAAAATATGGTTGGTGGAATTGCAAGTTCGCAATATTTCACAGTTTCAGAGTACGCAACATCAAATCTGAGATGCATTTCTCTCGTTTACATATCGGCATATCGTTTTCGTATAGTAGGAAGAGAATAGGGCCTAAAATCGATCCTTGCGGGACTTCACATGCAATTGGAAAAGAATCATTGCTTGAGATGGCACATTTGAAACCAGTTAAACTATTGTTCGTATTGAAGAAAAGGCTCAATTAATTTTTTACACTATTTACGGCGAGACATTTTCTTTCGCCTCTTTATACATTTCCCATGACGATAAAGGTTCGTTCCACAAAAAACGAACAAGTACAGAAATACTGCAGACAAACTGCACAATTGTCAACATCTTTGGTGCTCTTTCTTTTTCTAAAAATTAACCACGTTAATAGAGTTGCCTTGAAGGGAATAATGGAATGACACGAAATTTCTGTAAAACCGGGGATCATGAAGAAAACCGGACATCTGGCAACAATACCAACATGCCACTGAACCTAAGAATCACCTCTCCCTTGAGTTTTCGGTCAAATCGCGTAGAAAACTTTAAAGTAAAAACCACATGTTTCGCCGTAAATTTGATTGATGCACCCACAAGGGTAAAAATTCAGCACTATTTAGCAAATTTCTGGTTTTAATGGGGTCCCACAATTGTGCGTAGCGTAAAACAAGAAGTCTCTTGGCTTTCACCACTAAGGTTCCGGGTTCAATTCCCGTAGAACCGCATGTGAAATTTGATACGACAAAACGAGTGCGATTTGATACGACAAAACGAAACGCGTGCTTCACAGGGGCTAGTCAAACCTCTGTGAAGCGTCCTAAACCTTACCCCAATCCTTATACCTTTCCAATTCTGGCCGATGGGTAAATGACGCGAGCTGTCCGTGAGTCCCTGACTTGACTATGACTGACGTGACTTGACAATACAGCAGCCCCTAGAGGGCGCATATTAACGGAGGATTACTCCAGTGCGCTCAACGCTCCTTGCGGGTCTCCTTATCCAATTTTCAATCAAGGTTTGAAACGTATATTTGGGCAGTCAGAGGAGGGATCGACTCCGAATTGACTTCTAGGTAGATTCATACATTTTTCGGCGACATTAGCAGTTTGTAGCCAATTTGGGTTTGTTGACGATTTTTTAAAGTCTTTTTTGGGGGGAATCCTACCTAAATCGGCTATCTTTCAACAACAGATTCGAAAGTTTCGTCAGGTTTTTGCCGCGAATTCATCTGTTACACCGTGGGAAAGTTTTGCAGAATTTTTTTCATTTCTCGAAAACTGTAACAATTTTCCACACATTGAATGTCACATCTAAATGTAATTGGCTACATTTTTTATTCGATTTCAAAGTTTTTAAAATGACATATCTATGTGATTCTTTAAACAAGTCTGTAATTTTCAATGGGAACTGAAAGTAACTCACTGACTCTATGTCCAAATTAAAAATATCCATTCATGATTTCAAGTAAAATTGTTTCAAATGTAAATTCAAAATTTTATATTTATATATATATATTATATATATATTATATATATATATTGATTATATACCTATATATATATATATTTATAAATCAACTATATATTATATATATATATATACATATACTATATATATATATATTATATATAATATAATATTATACTACTATATACATATACATATATATAAATCATATATATATAATTATATATATATATATCAATATCCTATATATAGTATTACATGATATTATATACATATATATATATATATATATATATAATAATATTAATATTCAGATAGAAGAGAACAGAGAGAGAGGGGAGGAGGGGAGAGAGGAGAAAGAAGGTAGACGAGAGAGGGAGAGGGAGGGGAGAAGAGGGAGAGAGAGGGGAGAGAGGGAGAGTGAGAGAGGGAGGAGAGGGAGACAGGGGGAGAGAGGGCGAGAGAGAGAGAAAGAAGAAGAAGAAGAGAGAGAAAGAAGAGAGAGAAAAAGAAAGAAAGAGAGCGAAACAGAAAGAAAGAGAGAGTGAGAGTGAGTGAAGAGTGAGGAGCGAGTGGAGCATTTGAGAGTGAGAGTGGCAGTGAGAGTGAGAGCACACACATACATAAAGCCATTGCAAATGTGCAGTTCTTTTACAATTTGGGGCAAATATTCACTAGTTGTTGCTAGTGGCTAAAGTGTCTATAGTACTACTGGGGCTACAAGATCTATACCATCTCAATTCTATAAGAAGTTGGGGACAGTAACTGAAAGTTGAAATGACAATGGATGAATACACAATTAATCAATTATGTAATAACTATTAACACGATTACTGACTTCAGTGTTGACATTTTAGCCTATGAATCAAAACAATATGAAAAAATAAGGACATAACTTGTTGTCAGTTAATTGTGAAGTTAAATCTTTAAGCCACACATATGTTTCCAAAATTATAAAAAGAAAAAAAATATATTAACATCAGAAACAAAATGGATAAGGTGTCAGGAAACTAGAAAAAAAGTCCAACTGGCATAATTAACAACATATTGTGCTTTGCATATATTTTCAAATATATACACACTTTTAAAGTTTATAGTACACTCATTAACAATATTACTTACAAATATACATTAACATTATTTCCTAAATAGATTACATATTTGATACAAATAGTAATCCCAATTATAATAAAAACCTTTAATCCAAATAAATTTTTTTCTGCATTATATTTACTGAAATCATTGAAGAAAAGTACAATTTTGATTTTCTTTGCAAACAAATAAATATATATGTTTCTGCTAAGTATACAATGAGTCTTTTCACAGGCATTGCGAAGGGAACGCATTGGAGTCATTGCTCCCCCTCCCTTGCCCCCACGAAATATTTACATAATTATTCTTAAAATACAAATTCATCTTAAGAAATCCTCCGAAGACATTGTGTTTGAAATTTGCTAGTGAGATAGCATCACTTGGCAGTAGTCCCCTTCTGTCAATATGGAATAGATTTAAGATTGAACTATTGGACGTTATGGTACTTCTTATGATTCATTTACTCAAAAAGTAAATTTCAAGTTGAGTTAATTATAAGAATTGTAATGCTCTCTGTACTTCAGATTTATTTTTTTGAAATTCTGATGTTTATCCTTCATAATGATTCCCTCCATCTTTAGTAATGACTCAAGGCATCTGCACCCTGAAATAATCTGGTTACACCCAGGTCTCTGGTTGAAGAGAGTCAAGACAGCACTTTGACATAAAAATAAGTTCTCAGGTGGTAATCAAAGAAATGCAGGAAAACATATTAATTTGGATTTTAATTTGTTTTTTGATAATAAAATACAAAATTCTTATTGTTTTTTAAAAAAAATAAAGATACACTATTTGGTTGTAGTGAGGTACACTTCCCTATACATCCACATCAAAAGACAACTAAGTGAAAAAGTATTTCAATAATACTTTTTTCATTTTTATACTGTCATCATTTAACTCAAATTCACCCACATTTATTGTCCAGGCACGAGCCTAGTTTTAAAAGTTTTCGGTCAAAGAATTTCTTCCAACTTTTTCCAAAGAAAGAAGATTTTTTCTGAGTAAAGATACAATAAGTATTTAAGTGACTATAGAAAATAGTTGGAAATTTATATGAAGGATATTTATTTGGGATGTAATCCTTTCCAGTGATTAATCATAAGCATTATTAGAACTGATAAATTTTTCATGAAATATCAAAACCTTCCCTCTAACATTTTATTTTTGAAATTAATAACATATGAGTGTGATATAGGTTGTATTTCTCAAATAAAATAAAACTTCATTCATGTAGATTTATGTATTTTCAAAGACCTATTAACATTTCAGATTATTTTGCTAGTTTTGTTTTAAAAAAGAGAATCTCTCAAAAACAAACATTTAAATTTTTTTCCAGTTCCCATGAGTGTTTTTTTTATTTTATTATTTTGTGACATTAAATACACAATACACACTTCAAATATCATACTTGAAAACAAAGTAATATAAAATGAATTACTGTTTGTTCTTCAGACAATTATTTTCACTAACTCATTTCCTGACTGTCAGGATAATGAGCATTTGCAGTATTTAAGTTTGCACTTCAGTATAAAAGGAAATATTATAAGACTAGGAGAAGTTCATGAATTCTTCTGACTTAACTCTCAAGTGAATAAAATTTTATTTGAATAAATAAATTTAATGAAGAATTTTGTTAATTTAGATTTCGAAAGTAGCTAAAATATTCATTTTTATTTCACTTTATTAAAAATTTCAAAACAATTCTAAAATGTTATTTCCCTTTTAGACTAAATTGTTATTCCATAAAAAATTATCCTTCATAAAGACATATCTCCCCTCATACTCACTGACTAGTTCTACACATTTGCACATAAAAAATAAACAATTATTGTGACATTTAAAAAAGGTTTTTTATACCTCAATTTTCCAGAATATTGACAAGAAAAATAAACAAATAATTAGTGCAAAACTCTGAGTTGGGATACCAAAATTATTAAACAAAATTGAATGCTACACTTGTTACAGAAATATATTTTTGTTAAAAATATTTTGTAAATCATTCAAAGAACATAATATTTGGATTAAGGAATAACACAAAAACAAATATAAAACAACAACAACAAAAAATGATAGTCTTTATATCTTGCTTAGAATTCAACACAATGTTCATATGCAAGTTACTTTAATACAGTAAAATCCTGTTTCTATATTTCGGGATATTGCCTGTTATTCACTTGTACATTTTAAAAGCCCAACAAGTTATCAAAAAAGGTATTAATAATAAAAGTTGATTCTTAGCTTCAGTACTTTATTATTTTATACTTACTCAGAAATTGTACTTTTTCCCCGTACATCACATACAGTTTTTACTGTTTTTTGACAAAATAAATTGAACTATATGAGCACAATTTACACTGCTTTTTCTTAGACCTTTGAAAAGCACAAAAGAGGAGTTTTACTGTAGTTAAATAATTAATTGTTGATTAAATTGAAAATTTTATTTTGCTATGAGAAAATATTTTGTTCAAGCATAAATAAATGTTTAGTAATGGTTCTATTTACTTCCCCATGTTACTTTGTTCTTCCTTCTCTTTGTTCATAATGTTTGTTCCATCCTTTCTAGTATGTAATGCTTTTTGAATCTCTTTTGCATCTCCATGTCTGAATAAGCAAGGCAATGTTTTGGTCTCAAGTAATAATATCATTTACCATTCACAATAATACTGAGAGAAACAAAATAAATAAAGTAGTAATCAAGAATGCAGCTAGTGACACAATTTTCATTATTTTGAACTTCAGCACATTTGAAGATCGTTGATAAGAGAGTATTGAGAAAACAATACAAATTATGATAAAAAACATAATATCATGCATCTATTTATGCAAGCAGAAATATTTTAATTTTAATATATTATCCAATAAATTCAACAAAATAAATAAAGCGTTCAAGAAAAAACAATGTTAAAAGCCTGTCATTCAAATTAAGTGCTCTAATCAAAGGACACTTTTGGAACAAGTATATATAATACACCAAATACTTTAGGCGTTCCGTAACTGAAAAAGGTAATAAAAAGATATTTATAATATTAATTTAAAATCATTTAGTTTTAAATAACTGAAAATAATAATAAAGTAAATAAACAGGTACTTACAATATTAATTTTCATACAACACCAAAAATTTCTCCTGACATAGCTAATCGCTGAAGAAATGGTTGTGATGAACATGACAAAACTTCATAATCTTGCTCCCATGAAACATTCCTTTTATACTTTGTTTCAGAATGTAATCTCTCCAATAACAGCTGATGATCAAACTTTCCGGGTGTTTTTGGAGTTGAAAGTAGTTCACTAATATAAGAGGACAAGGACTTTGGCTTCGTTACTTTGTTTTCTTCCCTGGATGATTTATCTTGAATCAGTTTTTCTGATTCATCCTTTGAATCACTACTCTGCTCTCTCTTCTGTTCCACTGGCACAACTGGATCAGCAGCTGTATCTATGTCCAGTTCTCTGTCATCCCTGTCTGTGACAGAATATACCCAGTCACTATCATCAGCTCGGTATTCTAAGTCACTAGTTCTGTGAGGAGTATAGTTTTCATCACGAATGACTTGAGAGTTGGAGCCTGTGTATAAGTTTGAAGCTGATCCTATGGCCTGGTTTGAATCATTTTCATCTACAATAGACTCACTCTGAATTATATTATCTTTTTGTTGTGAGGCATTATCAGTAGTTTCTGATGTTTCAGATAATGTGTTAATGTTTATGCTATCAGAGATAATATTTGCATGAGATGATTGTGTTTTCTTGTTCTCATCTTCAGGCATACTCTTTTCAGACTCCAGAGATTTCGCACTACTTTCTTCAACTGTTATCTCATTTTCATTGTCACTCCTACTCTGATTATCCCCAATTCCCACTTCACCATTTACTGGAATTGACTCACTGGAAGCAGCAGGAGTGCGCCGAGAATGACGGTATGTAGAGAGAGGATCGCCTTTAAATGTTTTACTGCTCTGATCACGTAACATCTGCTGAATGTCAGATTGACGATGCCCACTGCAGCAATGTAAAGCTCCTGGGTCAATAGGATGTGCTTCTGTAGTTCAAAAAAAGAATTTTTTTTTTTTGTTGGAACCACTAGAGGATTACAAAAAATGAATTTACAAATTGAGTGCTTTATTGCATGCATCAGAAATTCAGAAACCTGAATCTTCTAGTTCTGTGAAACCCTAACTCAAGAGTCTGGCTATCCTGTGGATGGCTGTAAGTCATGGTCGCCAGTAGTTGTTTTAACAGTTCTAAAAAGGCTAGGCAGTATGCAAGGTATGGTACTGTTCACCATAAGGGCTTATGTTTTTATTCTGTCAATATGTGAGCATGGTTGTGGGGGCACCACACCCCTCAACCCTTGCTGTAAGGACTAAAAATCTGATGCATGCACATATTTCTCCTTACCTGTGTTGAATATATAACCTCCAGCATAGAGAATGCATTCACCCCAAGGTTTTCTTATCACAGTGCCATGTTGGCCTCGATTATGAATAAAATTATCAGGATCAAAGAGCAGGTACAGATACTTAGTTGTTTCAGCTAAGAAAAAAGATTCCATTCTATCTTCTTTGCGATGATCTCTCACATCCTTAATCTGTAAAAAGTTATAGAAAAACATTGTTCAAGTGTTTCCTTTAAGCTTCTCCTATTATACTTGAAGCAAAAAGAGTCAATTATGAATCTAGAGAAAAACATTTTTTTATTTTTTTGAGATGCATATGTTAATCTCATATGTTCATACATGAAATTTTAGAATGTTCAGGAGTAATATTTAGGTACGGCAAAACACTGACATGTAGATTTTAAGGAAAATATGGGGACAACTTTTAAAGCATAATGATGATAACTACTCAGCAAATAGGAAGAAATACAAAAACAATTTCCAAACACAGATTGAAACTTGTGTTCTATTTATGCATCAGACCTCTTGTTCTGTGATTTAATACAGAAACTAAACATACAGTGGCATATCCACAAGGAGTTCGTGCACTATGCTGAATGCTTCTTAAAATATCTTTCCCCACTTCTAACAAGTAGGGATCTCCTGTGGCCCTGTACATGTACATAACTGACTCCACCAGCTCTGGTCGCAGGGGATAGCTCTCTCGATTAGCTCCAACTTCTCCCTACAAGTGCCAAAGTGTGATTTCAATTGCAAAGTAATAGCTGCATTTCAGATACAAATGTCAATAGAGGGGCATTTTTCTTTTCAAGCTGAAAATAGTTGGAACGTACCTGAGGTATGTTGTAAAACTCTGGAGTGAATCCATACTGTTTCCACACCTGATGGTAATTATGTAGAGATTTCATACCATTATCAATATCCCCTGTAAACAAAAAGTGTTCCCATGCATCTCTAAAACCATACAAAATAATTTATTGGAAAAAAATTGATAAAACTACCTACCTATAAGACTTAATACTCCAGGCCAATACGCTTCCAAGGATTGGAAGACAGGCAATGTGACTTGTCCTTTTGACATTGACACCCACAAATGCCAGTCATCTCGCTTCAAATATTTATCAATAGAAACTCGCCCCTCTTGGAACATTCGCAGCAATTCAGGTCGCTGAAGTAATATAGCACCTTTGACCAAGTACTCATAATAGGAATCCACCCCGGCTCCAATGCCTGCATCTTGAGCTGTCCATCGTCCAGTTTGCACGTCAATATGATTACCTACCAAGCCAATTGGTGAACGATGATTATATAAAGCATGGAGAGCATTCATAGCCACCTGGGAAAATGAATTTAAAATGCTACATTTATTTAATACAACATTCATTATTCTTACCTCTATACCGAATAAACGTAGAAGAAATACTACATATTAAATAGTACCGACAGTGACAATAAATAATTACATTCGATATGTAAATTCAAAAGAAGATATTTGCCCCATAAATTAAAATTAAATCTTACTTCAACTTTCATAAATTTCATTTGATATTTTATAACTTTTCAGTTCCTTTATTAATTAATACTTCAAATAGTTATGATTATTTTTTTTTTCATTATTATTGGTTTTAATTTATTTTGTAATATAATACTATTATCTCAATAAGAAATTCAACTTTTGTCTTTACTCAACTTGAATTTTTCTTTTCATTATGAAAAGATTTCAATTGACAGTTTTTTTTAATTCTATGTTATGCACAAAAATAAATAGTTGAGAAACGTCTGCATTTTACTAAAAGTGATGGGTGAAAATGACAATGAAAAGGGAGAAAGGTAGAGAAAATGTAACATGAAATGGATTTCAAGCCCCCCCTGTGCATTAATGTTGCTGATTTCTGCCATACAAGCAAGCCATTTCCATTTCATTTCTCTATATAAGTATAACTATGTATACCTCTTCATAGAGTGGGTCACCGGTCAGACGAGACAGAGTCCCAAGTTCCAGAATGAAAGTGCCCACACCAGCTGTGCATGTAATGCTGGTTTCCCCCTCTGGAACTCCATGTCTCAGGTTGACTGTTCCATATGGCATGCCCGTGGTTGTGTCAAAGGCAGCCAGGAGCCGACGTGCCACATCCTCAGCCAACTGAAGTAAAGGGCCATTGCATGGCCAGCCAGGATCCACTTCAACTCCAGCTCTACAACAATAAAAATTACTACTAGTACAAACTCACAAAACTTGTGGAAAGAATGCATTTGATAACAATAAATATACATACTTGTGAGACAGCAAATGAGCACTGAGCAGTCCTCCTATGATTCTAATATTGGTTTCAAAGACAGATACATTAATATTTGCATCAAAATTTGCATGAGTAGTAATGATGTTCACTACACGCTGAAATTCAGTGTAATTGCCCATTACTGCAAGAGTATCTAAGGCATCAATGAGAGTTAAAGAATAGCTGGAAAAAATATGATGTAACATGAATGGAAAATAATGAGGCAGCACTAAACAAGAAGCAATAAATCACTTTAAAAACCACTCTTACCTGCCCCATGTATCAACACCATCACAGCTCAGTGGCCTTAATTCATCATAGGGATAAGCATACTTCAAATAACTATCATATGCATGTTGAAACATTTGTCTGACTTCTTCCCTACATTAGAGGCAGAAGGTAAGTACAGAATATTGGTTCATTTCAAATAATTCATTAATATCAGAAACTTTACCTTAGAATTTCCAAATCTTTTCGTGTATATTTCGGAATGCTGGACCCCAGACAAAAATTACAAAAGATCACAACACATGTTATAATGCCTAACCTCAAATAATACGTTTCCATAATTAAGCTAACAACGCCTGGCAAAATGTGATGCCAAAATTATTATAAAAATAGATGATCTACAAAACATCAAGTCATTGTTTTTAATAACGTCACAAAGCGTTTCACAGTACATTCGCACAAGTACTACTTGACAGTAAACCACTGACGTGTCATTCCGGAAATGACAGTTTTAATTCGTAAAGTCTGCTTAGTTCAGTGTTTTTCAAGATGACCATTACTTCATCAGTCAAAAGGCTATCGTCAATTTCTATCACAAGAACGACGCATTATTGTATATAAAAACCCTAAATTGACAATTTAACCTTCCTTGAACCCCTTATCACCATTCGTAATGTCGCCATTGAAAAACAAATGACTAGCGAATGGAGGCAAATGCACTCTGGTAGGGAATATTACAAATAAGAAGTAATGTTCCTTCGCCACGCTAGATATCGCGAAATGCACGAGAGTTTTAGAGGAATTGGATCGGTGAAACGTAATAGTTAAAAATATTAAGGCTAAATGTCCCGACACTAGTACAATTTGTGGCCACCATGTGGCAGCACCAAAATAAGTAAAA